GGTTTGGGTTTGTCCTGCTTTTCTTTTTCTAGAAGCTTGAGATTCAGCATTGGGTTGTGTAATTGAGTACATTCTGTGTTACTAATATGATTGTTCACTGCTATGAATTTCCCTTGTTAGACTGCTTTCATTGTGTCCCACAGATTCTGATATGTTGTATTGTCATTGTCACTTAATTGTAGGAGCTATCTGATTTCTTCTTTAATTTCCTCTGTGACCCATTAGTTATTCAGAAATGTGTTGTTCAATTTACATGCTTTTTTGAAATTCTTGCAATTTCTATTCCTATTGATCTCCAATTTTATCACACGATGGTCTGATAATGTATGCAGGATAACTTTAATTCCTTTGCACTTACTTAAACATGTTCTATGAGCAAGCATGTGGTCTATTTTGGAGAACAATCCATGTGCAGCTAAAAAGAATGTGTATTCTGATTTTGGGGTGTGGAACACTCTGCAAACATCTGGTAAGTCCATTTGTTCAAGATTTTGATTGGGTTTTAGTATTTCATTGTTTATTTTTTGTCTGTTGGATCTATTTTTGATAGTATTGTGGTCCCCCACTTCTGTTGTGTTTGTGCTTATTAAATTTTTCATATCTGTTAGTATTTGTTTTATATAGTTTTAAATAGGGTCTGGCCTATTTATATTTATGATTTTCATCTCTTCATCTTGGGTTGTTTCCTTTACAAGGATGTGTTGGTCCTTCTATGTCTCTTAATCAGTGTTGATTTGAAATCCACTTGTGCAAAGAGGATAGCTACTCCTGCTTTTTTTCATGTTTCTGGTGCATGAAGTATTGTTTTCTTCCCTTCAACTTTCAATCTATGAGTTTCATTTTTAATTAAGTGTGTTTCTTGTATGCAGCATATTGTTGGATCCTGCTTCTTGAACTGTTCTACCAATCTATTTCTTTTGATTGGTGAATCAAGACTATTAACATTAATGGTTATAACTGATATGTATTAACTTATTCTTGTCATGACTTATTTTTGTTTCATTCTGCCCCTTTGTATTTAATTTCTTGTCATGCCTGATGGATTCATTCTGTTGGGCTGCCTGGGGTTGTGATACTCATTGTCTTTTACCAGAATATTGTTTAAAATTTTTGGAGTGCTGGTTTGGTATTCTCATGAAATTACTATGGTGCTCTTTTAATGAAAGTATCTTATTTCACCATCAATTTTGAAAGATAGTTTTGCAGTGTACATTAATCTGGGTTGGAGGCTGTTTCTCTTTAGGCCTTGAAACACATCACTCCAAGCTCTTCTTGCCTTGAGGGCTTGTGTTGAGATGTCTGCTGTGATTCTGATGGGCTTTCCTTTGTTTGACATTTTTTTTTAACTGTCTATAGAATTTTGTTCTTCTGTTGGGTTTATGGAATCTTAACTCTTATAGGCCTAGGTGTAGATTTGTTTTTTTAATCATGGCTAGTTGAAGTCTTATATACCTCACTTATCTTTATGTCAAGATTTTTCTCCTACTTGGGAAATTTTCTGCCATTACTTCTGTGAACAGATTTTTATGTTATCTGCACTCTTTCCTGTTGCTTCATTGACTCCAATCAGTCTTATGCTATTCTTCGTTCCATCATCTAGCATCTGTTGGACTGATTTCTCATGGTCACTTACTATTTTTTTTCAGCTTTAATTGAGTTTATTGGTACATTTTAGGGAGACAGTACAGTTACATTCATTGTTGGGATCTTATACTTCTACATGACAAGTCTTGATTCTCATTTTTTCTCCTGACATACCTCTACATGACAAGTCTTGATTCTCATTTTTTCTCCTTATCCCTGCCTTCCCTTCACCCCCCTTCCCTCCCCATCTACAAACACTTAATTTTCATCTTTTCATTGTCTCACACTTTTTCTTTTCCCTTATTACCCTTTCCCTACCCATCCCACCATCCCTACACCTTTAGCTCCTTTCTTCCCATTTCTAAATGTCAGTAATCTTATTAGGATCTTATGTATTATTGCAGATTATTCACACCAGGGAAACTATTTGGTATTTACACATGTGTTACTTATTTATTTCACTTAGGAGTATATCTTCAATATGTTGAAGGTCACTTACTATTTTTAAGAAATTTTTATTTTCCTGGTCTTTTATTATAATCCTATCTTCTATATCTGAAATTCTGTCCTTGCATTGGCTTATTCTGTTATGTAAAATTTCAATGGAGTTTTTAATCTCCTGGGAATTTGTTTGAATCTGCTTTATGGATTCTATTTGTGTCCTATGTTGGTATTCCATCATGTTCCTCAGCTCCTTTATTGTTTTAATCTGTGTCTGTTCTAGATTTATTAATCATAACTTGCACTATGGGCACAACCTCTGCTGTTATCTCATAAATTATTTCTGATTTCATTTTTTCCAGATCCTCTTTTGTTATTAGTTCAGGGAGTCCAGGTGGTTGAGTATCAGATTGTTGCATCTCCTTTGTGGTTGCCTCAGATGATCTGGAAGTCTGGTTTCGCAGCTTGTTTGCATGTCTTCTCATTTCAACAAATACAGCCTACTTTACCTTTTTTGAGGCAACTTTTTGCTCAGCTGGTTGTCTTCAATTCTCAGCAAGCCATAGAGTGGCCTTTTCCCTGCTGCTCACCAATGCACCAATTCCTGGGTTCAAAATGGTGCCCTTCTGAATTGCTAAACTGCCCTGTTGTCCTGGCAGGTTCTGGCTGGTGACTGTTGTATGGTATCTAGGTGCACCTTTTGCTGTGGTCCCTATGTACCTTTTGTCTGAATGGGCCTTTGGCTGGGAGCTGTGCACCTCAGTTCCTATTGTCTGAGCAGGCTTCTGGCTAGGTTCTCTATGCACATATCAATGGGATCTGGGTGAGTCTCCAGCTGTTGTTTGTGTACCTGTGCAGTTCTTTTCCAGGTGGGTCCTTGGCTGTGGCCTTTGTGCCTATGCTACTGGGGAGGGAGGAGGGCCCTGGTTGGGTTCTGCCTGCAGCTGCACTGCTCTGGACCACACCACAACTTCCTGGGATATGCATGCACTTTCAGATGCCATGGGGTAGGCCTCTGGCTGAAGCTTGTGTGCCTGTGCAGCTCTTTTATGGGGGTGTGCCTTTGACTTGGGCCAGTATGCCCAAACCTCTGGGGTTGGGGCAGAGCCCTGGCTGGGATCTGCCTGCAGCTGTGCCATTCTGGTCCACACCACTGCTCCCTGCACTTAGAATCACTTACAAGCAATTACAAGCATTTACAGATGATATGCAGCAGGCCTCATATACCCACTGGTCTTAGCAAAAACTTTGTCTTCACAAAAGCCAAGGGAACTGCTAGTGAGCTACCCAATGTTTTGTTCTTAGAAATAAATGCAAAAAAGTATTTCTTAAATATGTAAGACAAATGGGAAGGCAAGTAAGTATCAATATCCATACTCTAAAGTACCGATTCATTGTGAAAGAATAGTAATTAAACATTGATAAGGACATTCCTTAAATTTTATTTTTAAGTTGTAAATTAAGACTTCATATGATGTGTTATAAAAAAACCACTATGAAAAAGAATAATCATAGAAAAATAAAACATCTGAAAACCATTATTTTAAATAATTTTGTTATAATGCTCATATTCAGCATTGTATAATTTTATTATCTTTGGTATGTTTGCATCTTTAGATTATGTGTTAAAGATATTTGGGTTCTGTCTTAGAAGTTACACCTCTATTGCCATTTAATTTTTTTTTTTTAAATTTTGTCATGGGGCTGGGGATTTAGCTCATTACACCGATTCATTGTGAAAGAATAGTAATTAAACATTGATAAGGACATTCCTTAAATTTTATTTTTAAGTTGTAAATTAAAACTTCATATGATGTGTTATAAAAAAACCAGTATGACAAAGAATAATCATAGAAAAATAAAACATCTGGAAACCATTATTTTAAATAATTTCATTATAATGCTCATATTCAGCATTGTATAATTTTATTATCTTTGGTATGTTTGCATCTTTAGATTATGTGTTAAAGATATTTGGGTTCTGTCTTAGAAGTTACACCTCTATTGCCATTTAATTATTTTTTTTTAAATTTTGTCATGGGGCTGGGGATTTAGCTCAGCAGTTTGGTGGCCTGCCTTGCAAGCTAAAAGAGCCAAGTTCAATCTCCAGTACCAAAAAACAAAAACAAAAACAAAAACAAAAACAAAAAAACAACAATTAAAATTTTGTCATGTTTTGTTAATATTTAAACTTGTACATTTTTATGGTTGAATGTCTTTATAATTTCTTTTGCTGTTGTGCTCTGAGAATTATTTTCATGTTATTGCCAGATAAAGGTTTAATTACACTGTTATTTTTCTAAATTAATTACATGTTATAATAGTTTTCTCCTGCTTAGTGTTTAAACACTCTTGTCTCATTATATCAGTTGTCTTTATCATTTAAATTTATTGTATCACTACTCTTATTATTTTAAATAACTGTTTTATTTATTCTGTTGATATCGTTTTGTAATATGTTACAATTATCTGTTAAAATAAATGAATTCAAAACTCTTAAACATAATGGTCATTATGTATGTTTGAAAAATTCTCTAGTATATTTCAAAAATTGAATGTAAAAAGTTGTATTCCATTGCCTGATAGAATATTATCAAAATGAGGCATTTATAACTGCTTATGTAGATGTTTAAACAATTTTAAACAATTGTAATGGGATATATATCTCTTAGTCTTTATCTATACTTGTCCAAAACCTCCAGTAGATATAAAGAAAAATTGTAAATATTTCAAGATATTCAAATGAAAATGTTTCTTTCTATAAAGACAATATCTTTATAATGCTATTTGACCTATATTATGGTTAATGACTTAATGGAAAAGTTAGGTTGTATTTTCTTTGAAGCTCTAGAGACAGATTTAAGAAAAACTTGTTAGTAGGTATTTGACTTACCAGATATTTTCTGCGTGATAAAAGGGACTGCAGTTTTAGTGTGGCATCTCTAACATGTGTTTTCCCTTTCTTTCACCAACAGGATAATGACTGTCATAATTAACTTGTCATACTTCGATAGTATTCTTGTCAAAACTTGTTTTGCTCTCAGTAGTAGTAACAGAATTGATGTACGTAGAACACTACATGAATGACTGAGAAGAATATAATGAGAAAACACATTTGGTTCTATCAGAAGAGAAGCACAGACTTTTGAAAACACTACTGTGCACATATGAACTCACCACAACCAAGCCTGATTTTTCGTTAGAAGCATTCTCTACCAGATGATAATATGTGACCAGAGTATTTTTATTATCAGTAGCTTGTTTTTTTTTTCCTTTGAACAATTTCAGTGAAACTATTGACTGACTACAGACATTGTGAGGATACTAATGAAATATCAGCAAGGACAAAGAATTCCACAATGTATTTCATATATATATATGTTCTGTCTGTTTTATTTGTGTATATCTTGCATAAACTTTTTTGTACTACAACACGGTCACTTCAGGCAAAAAATATCTACAGATGCAGGGTTGCTGATTACATGGGGTAATATAAAAATAAAAATAAAAACTAAAGTATATGTACACATACATAAATGTTGGAAAGTTAGAAGAGGGCTAATGTATTTGATGAAATTATATTGCTTGTGTAAGAAAATCAATACTAATATACATCTTCATACAATTTTAAATTTGGCTAATATATGACATATCATTTAGTGCTAAAACACTCTTTAACTCGTGTTGCTTTAATGATCGTGATAATTAAAATAACTCCTCCTAAATAAAACATTTTCTTTCTTTCTTCGCTCCTTTATTTTCCATAGCACACAGCACCATCTGACATGAAGTGTATTTTAGTTCTCTTGATCACTGTTTGCCTCCTCATACCCACATTGACAACGTTAAAAGGACAGGTTTTTTTTTTTCCTTCTCTCTACCTACTTTATTCCTAAGGCTAATAAAAATCTTCACATAAAAGAAAATTGGTAAATATGTTTTGAAGTAACAACCGCTGTTAATTCCTGTATTTAAAAACATTAGGTTAAAGTTATACTGAAGTAAGAAAAATGTACACAAGAAAAGTCTTTGAGAGCAAAGTTAAAGCTACATTTTTTCAAATCATCCATAAACCATTGCTTTTGGATATTATCTAAATCAAAGGATTTTACCTGCTATTTAGATAAAAAGCATATATATTTACAGATCAAAGGAACAGATAACATATGTCATTTAGGATCTTTTTATTTGTATCTAGCAAAAAAATCAATTAACCAACATAAACTATAATAATTGATTGACTCATATGAGTAGAAAGTCAAAAGATAATTCAGAGAACTAATCTGACTGAAAGTGTTGTATTAAATATTGATTCTTTTCAGATACTAAATAGAAGCTTGACATTGAATCTAAAATTGGGATGAATGTCACTGACTTAGCTTTATCCAAACAGGAAGGGAGATTCTCTCAGGCAAAACAGTAATGCAGAGTTCATGGGTACTGTGGTGTGTGTGCTGGCCAGCAGTAGCATGCGGCTGCTACAAAAGCTCACTTTTCTTTGGTTCATGTTCTTACTTTTTTGGCAAATACTAAAATTGCAGCTGCTAATAATTTTGAAGGAATAAAAATAGAAAATTTTCTCTTAGAAATTATAACACATTCATTTTATTCCTCTCTTCTGTTTAGATTATAGAAAAAAAACATGAGAAATTCCTCCAAAAGTTTCCAGTGAAACAGGAAAAATAATATTAGAGAAGAAGACTACTGTATGGCCAATACATAAAACCACTGACAAAATCAAATTAAAGTAAGAATAAAGTGTACATTCAATTTACGTAAGATTTTTATTATGGCCTCTTTAGTAATTTTAAATAATGGAATGATACCTGTTAGCCCCATTAACCAAAATTCTCGCCAATACATAAAACCACTGACAAAATCAAATTAAAGTAAGAATAAAGTGTACATTCAATTTATGTAAGATTTTTATTATGGCCCCTTTAGTAATTTTAAATAATGGAATGATACCTGTTAGCCCCATTAACCAAAATTCTTCATTCCTAATTTCTACACTTGTGCTACTTGATATCAACAAATTATATTCTTTAGTAGTACACCTATCAATGATAATAATTACAATAATAAAGCATATAGCATTTAAGCACTCAAATGTCACTCAATTTGCCAAGTACATCATACCCTTTTGCTTTTTTTCCTTAGAACTTCTGTAGTTCATATATACATAAAAAATGTACTTTAACTCATTCTAATGGAAAATTTTGGAGCTATTTTTTTCTTAGCATAAGAATGTGATACCAAGTCTTCCAGGGTACAATCACCATGTTGCCTTGAATGATCCCTAGATGTCTTTTTCTACCTAGAAGTTTTAACCTATTTCTTAGATTCCCTATTACCTTATTCTCAAACATCTGAGTCTGCTGATCTTCCACTGACAATTTAAAAACACTGTGTAAGAAAGTATAATGTGAGTACATTTCAAAGGAAGGTGGGGAGTTAAGTAAGATAATGATATATAAGAAATAGAATTCCCAACCTGCTAGATGTCAGCTGTGCTGAGTTCATATCCCCTAAAAGTAAAGAATGAGTTCCAAAGGACAAAGACGGTTAAGAATAGTTATATTGAATAATAGGAATAGCTCTTGATAGACAGTAGGAGACCAGAGTAAGTTGCTACCAAGGCCCTTTGTCAGGGTGACTTACACAGCAAAGTCAAAAATTGGGTACAACTGGGTCAAACTATAATCAACCAATGAGATTAGAAATATGGCTGCTTACCTAGTATTGATCCAATAAAAAAAGTGGACTGCAGAAAGATGATAGGGCTGGCATGCTTAACCTTGGCTTGTCTATGACTTCTAATCCAAGAACGTTTGGGGGAAGGGATGGGTCTACCTATTCTGCTCACTCACTCTGCCATCTGACGCATACCTGGATTTAATGGACTCAGTGATACTAATTACAGTGTAGTCTGGTGTTCTTCTTATCCTCTAAAAGTATGCAAGTCTGGCCACTGTGACTTTACCTTGAGGCCTTGCCTTCTTCAGATACTGCTTCAGCCACAATTCTGATGTCTTTATTTTCTACAGCTTGTTTCAGAACCTAGTCCCTCTCTTGCTGTATACAGTATTAATGTCTATCTAACTCGCCTGTCTATAATAATAAGACTACTCTCTTTAGAGAAGCCATAAACTGTTGTAAAAAACAAGAGGGAAAACAGATAATTACATAACAAATGAGTAATTAAATTCTGTTAATTGTGAATTAGGCAAGTGCACTAATTATCCCATTGAGAACAACCAGAAAAGATGGAAAATATAACCACACCTAAAGCCATCAAAGTGCTAAATATATAACAAAGAAGAAATAAAAATATCTCCCAGGAAAAGAGATATATTTTTCATTTTATCTTATTTCTATACATGTACATATACAAACAATGTACTAAGAAATAAAATAGAGTGCAAAACTTTTCATTATAAATAAATATCCACATAAGATAGACAAATGTAAAACCAAACATAAAATATCTTCAAAAATCTAAACGAAATTATTTAATACATTTAATGAAATGAAAGTTTAATATTTAGTATTTCAAGAGAAAATAGGAAATATGAAAAAATGATTTGGATCTAAAAATGCAACTGAGATTAAGAGCTGCATTTTTAAGTTTAGCAGCAAATATTAAAGAGGTGAAAAAACAACTAAATAACGACATATGTTAAAACAACTTAATTAGAATGAAGCAGAAATAAAATAAGAAGGGAGATAGGCAAAAAAGGAAGGAATTAAGAACAAAGTTTCAGCGGAAGTCAGGGTAACCCTTGGAAACTCTAGAAAGCAGGTTTTCATATTTCTGCATCAATATTCATCAATGAAGGGTCCATGAAAGAATGAACGGTAAGTGAAGTATGAAAACTCCTGTTCTTCATACTCATAGAAGCAAAAGTGCTCCAAAAGCCTAGAAAACATCTTCTGTTGAGAGTTGTGGATTCAAGCTGTTGAAATTTGAAAACAAAAATCTTTGAACCTTTGGGAAAGAAGCATGGTAGCAATGTAAGAGATCCAAAGGACACATCAGCAGTGTCTGCTAAAACCAGGGGTCTTGAAAATAAAAAAATAGTTATGTCATTCAGGTCACTCAAATTAAGAGATAAGGTCAATCATGCTGCAATCTGAATGAAAAAGCAATTGATTAGATGAAATAAAAGCAGCCAACAGAGGGGAAGTAAACTATAATAAGGATTGTCTAAGACTGATAAGTGATACAGAACAATATTTAGTGGCATTTCTAAAATTCTTGAATATTCTTGGTGAGGAAAAGTGTTCTGCATTGATTATTCCCATATTTTGACTCATTATATTTGACTCAGTTCAGCTTAGTCTTTTATTGATTAAAAAATAAATCAAACCTAGAAAAAGCAGCTAAAACAAAAGAGAAACTAAAATGCAGAATCAATTTTTTTTCAAAATTCTGAATGTTAGTGAAACATGTACAACAGAACTAGTAAAATTTATTCATCAAAAAATAGAATCTTTGAAGTAACAATACATTTGGTAGCATTTTGATTTGTCCGGTTCCCTATCCTCTTTTTTAACTCTGGAGAGAGTCAACGAAATATCTGAATTCATGGTGAAATGTAGCAGCCCATCTTTCCATGCTAGAAACGGTAGCTCATTTCCTTTATATTTCTTTCAGAGCCTTATTCACAGAATATTTGTTCTGTTATCCTTACCTAGTCTTTGGGGGGAAGTTCCAGTAGCAAATATTTTTATTTTAACAGAGTCAGGTCGTACGAAGTGTAAACATTCTTTTTGATGGGATCATTTGTCAAAATCAATACAAGAGAAATGTTGAAAAATATAGCTGCCTTACTTCCTGAGGAAATGGACAATTGGAGACAATTCTCCAACCAAAAAGCTTAAAAGGAAAATCCAAGAGATAAGATATCCACAGAGTGCGTCAAAACGACAGGAACTAGAATGTAGAGTGTGGTTGGAAACAGTAACTTCTTTGGAATGAACTTAACTCTCGTATCCAGCATGACCTATCTACTTCCCACCCGGCCTCATCTTTGGACGGTGACATGACACCAAGGGTCACCCCACCATAGTGAGGGCCAAACTCCCAACACGCGAACCCAGAAATCTGAAAGTTAAACTTCAACGTAGTCATGTTAGTTCCTCAAAGTAAGTTATTTTGTCAAACCTAAACCAACTAGGGATTTACCAAAACCTAACAGACACGGTGCCGGGAAAATAGCCTTTCTTAGTCATGAGCTCTACACCCATACATTTAGGCCATCACAGACTGAAGATATGTTCAAAGGAAAGTATAACAGTAGGTAAAGTGTAAAAATGTTTCTTCTTGGTCATTAGTCCCTAAATGACATAGTACAGCAACTATTAACACAATAACTTCATTGTTTCTTTTATTATAAATAATATAGAGATGAAATAAAGAGGTGAGTTATATTGAAAGTAGTATCCCACTTCCTATATAAGTCTTGAGGATCTGCAGATTTTGGTATCACATAGAGAATCCTAGTACTAACTCCTGAAAGATTTTAAGGGATAACTGCAGAGTGGAGAAA